CCCGGTTTCTCAATAAAACTCCCGGTTTTATTAGAAACGATCGTTTTAGGAAACGAATTGCTGCCCGATTTTCATTAAATCAGGTGAGTGTGTAGTTACTTTCACCTTACACATAGATATGAAGTATTTTATATAAAATACGTGCTGTGTGAATATTTATTGTTTGTTTATTTGAGTTGGATGTTGAAGGTGTGATTTATACATGTTTTTAAATAATTTAAATTGTATATGTATTTTTATCTACAAAAATGTTGGGTAAAACATGGGTAGATGAAATAATGGGTGTGTGATGAAAGGTGAGTTGGATAAAGGAGATGATCAGTAATATTGATCATAAGTTGAGGGTGAGTGGTGAAAGGAGATCATAAGTTGAGGGTGAGTGGTGAAATATGAGAAAAGCCCTTACCCAAACGGTGACCCCCATCATTCAACAGAGTATGGATGACAACCATGGACTATTCTAGATGGTATGTGGAACACTAGCAGGCTTGCAACCTGTAGGTGGGTGAACTATATGTTCATAAGGTGTACTCTAAAAACCCATTGACATGTATGACAGGGGTGAATTAATGTCAATAATACTGTCAATAAATAAGAGCTATGAATTTAGCCCCTGTTGTATAAACCCTGGTGATGGTGTGACCTTGTGCCTATTCCTTAGGATGAATCCTTAGAAAGGAGTGATAGTTGAATCTTAGGGTAAACCCTTAAGAAATTAATAAGATAATGGGGTTGGGGTAATTTGGTTGATTGATTGATGTTTAAGTACGATAAATTTATTTATTGTGGGTTGAAAACCCTATATGCTCACCAGGATTCCAAGCCTGACCCACTCAGATTTTTATGATTACAGGTAGTGGACCCCGAGCATAGTCGGATGATGATGATGAGTGATTTTGGATTATAGGCCAGTAGTTATAATTAACTGTTGTAAGGCTTATAATGTCTTGTTTATGCTTTTGATCTGTATCGGAACATGACATCCCGAGGTTTTGATATAAAAGGAAATTTTATATTTCTTAAAGAAAGGTTTTGACAAACTTTTATCATGTTTTGTTTTGGGGACCAATTCCGCAACATCTTTTAAAAAGATTTCTTTGATTTTATTTTAAAAAGCATAAATTAAATCGGTCTTTTCTGGCCGAGAAATTAGGGGATGTCACATCTTACCTACGAGGGGGTTTGGCTAGAAGTCGTGCTCTGTAGGGGCAGAACTTCCGAGCCGAAAGCTCTTCTTCTCGGAGCCGTCGAGCGCTCCGGGGCTTTCTTTTAGCGCTAGGGGAGTTTTGGGAGGTTTACAGAGAGAGTAGAGAGAGGGGTTGTATTTATAGGGTGAAGTATGGTTGAAGTTGATGCCACATGTCACCATCTAGTGGCAATCCTTGGGGAGAAAGCAATGACCAAGATTGTGCCACGTCACCCCTTTTGCAGCAACACCCTTCCGACTTCTAAACCCCGTAACTTTCGCATACGAGCTCCGTTTTCGACGTTCTTTATATCCACGCGTAGGTAAAAATAATATCTACAACTTTACTTTTGACTCTGTCGGCTAATTCTCGACCGATCTTAAATTTTAATAGTATGAGGAGATTATACTGTTAAATGTCCGCGTAAAATTCGTAACTTCTACATACAGACTCTGTTTTCGTCTGTCTTTTTACCGTTGAGTTCCTATTAATGAGATATTCAACTCTCATTTAGGTTGCGTAGGCGAAAAATCGCTCGAAGTAAAATTCGAGTTTCAGGCCGTGCACTGCTATGCCAAATCTTACAAAATTCATAACTTCCTCATACGAAGTTAGATTTGGGCGTTCTTTTTTTTGTATGTTGTCGGTTTAACGTATACTACAACGTTTTTTTTAGATTACTAAGCTAAAAACTCCTCTATCATAAATTCACTATTTACGTCTCCTGGTGTCGTGCCGGTTTTGTCGTAAAACTTCGACAGGTCATAACTTCTTCGTTATAACTCGGATTTCGGTGTTCTTTATATGTACGGAACCCTTGTAACATATACTACCACTTGGTTAAGATTACTCCTTCTAAATAATCTTCCATCAAAAACTCATTTTTTGATGCTCATTGTCTCTAAATTGACTAGCCCGGATCTACGGGCGTTACAGGGGGTGTGACATTACGGATTGATTTCATTCCTAAATGGTGTTCATGGTTTGACTTTGCTCCATAAGAGGTTCACGGTTGCTTTTTATTTCTTGAAAAGGGTTCATGGTTTTGGTTCTTTATTCAAATGGTGTTCACGGTTTGGTCCTAACCGTGAACACTCTTATTGTTTATTATATTGGATCGTGAACTAGCTTTCTAGATGTTCTTGGGCCGTAAACTATGGTGGTGTTTCATTTTGTGATTTAAACTTTTAACCCCTTGACTTATGTTGGCTTGTATATTGAGTTATTTTTGTATAGTTTCAATATAAGTGTTCATAACTTATAAATAAATATGATTTACAAAGTATGTATATAAAATATCTTATATAAACATGTCCTTAAGGTATTCAAGTTCCTATGGTATTAATGCTATGATATGGATTTACATGCATATGATTGTAGTTTAAACTTTTATTCGAATAAGTTCAACTTACACTGATTTGAAATTACGGGTTGTTACAGAAGCGGATTAAGGTTTCAAGGTATAGCTGAAAGAAGCAATGGAGGCTGATAAGGTGAAGGATTGGTGGTTGGGGGGGGGGGGGACTTAATGTGTTTAAATAGGGTGCACACCCTAAAAATTAGGGTTTTCCCCTTATTGACGTACGCCCTGCTTACGCATGGGTACGCCCACCATACCAGGGGGACACCCTGTCATATGTATGCTTTGGAGTACACCCGACGTACCATATGTACGCCCAACGTATTCGGGTCCAAGTGTCCAAAAGAAGAAAATTAATTAATTAACTTTTACCTAACATATCGGCCGTTACAACGTAACTTAACTTACAGGGATCCTAGCGAAAACCAGGAAGATCGCAGACAGGGATTCGATACCGAGCACTTCTTTTGGTCTGACCCACTACCTCAGAGCTTCACTAAAGTACTCTAAAAACCCGAAAGGTTGGACTCAAGGGGTGGGTGGTCTCCAGAGAGTTTGGAGTGAAGAGAGTGTGAGGAAAGAGTGGGAACTGAAGGAAGCCAAAGACAAATATCTATAGTAAGGATGTGTGTTGTGCACTATAGGTGCACGCTGCACACTAGGGTAACATCGATCCATCTGTTGCATGCTACGTGTCAAAACCCCTGTGGTCCACGTTGCACCTTCTAGAAGTTGCGCGCCGTGCCCGTCGTGCAAAACTTGGATTTTGTAAATTCCATATCTTCTTCATACGATCTCCGTTTTTGAAGTTATTTATATCCATGCGTAGCTATTGACGAGATCTACAACTTTCATTTAGACTCCATCGACTAAATCTCACTTTATTTTTAAAGTTAAATTTTTATAGGCTTAGACTGTTAAAGTCCATATAAAAATCATAACTCTCTCATACAATATATGTTCTTGATTGTTTTTATATCAACGTAATCATATGGATGTGATCATCAACTCTTCTTTTGATTGTTTTTCCTAACAATCGACTGATCTTTATTTCGGTTTCTGCATCGTACATTGCAATGCTGAAACTTCTAAAAACCATAACTTCCTCTTATGAAGTTGGATTCAAACGTTATCTCTACGCATGCTCTTGGTTTTGCGATTACTACGACTTTTGTCAAGACTATTTATCCTAAATAGTCTTCTATCCAATACGTCTATTTACGTGACTGGTCGTTTATACTATAAGGCTAAAACGGGGTGTTATAGTGGGCTCATAACCCATAGAAGTAGATGAAATGAGATACCATATTCATCAAATACTCTAATGGCTCGGGTGCCTTTATGACTTTCAGCAGCCAAGGAAGCCCCTAGCAGTGTAGTAAAGCACTTTCTTTTAAACGGTTTTGATAATTGTGGATTAGGAGCTGTGAGGATCGATTGAGGTGGGTATGTATATGTATGATGTTTTATAGATATCCAAGTCGGAAATATATTTATATATTGTTTGGTAACAGTTGATTTTGCAGGATTAATATAATAATAATAATAATAATAATAATAATAATAATAATAATATTGTGAGATTGAAATCCCTATGTATCTTACCAGGTTTTCCAACATAACACACTCAGTTTGTATGCATCACAGGTATCAAGATTTAAGCTACTGAAACTTGATTAGGATGCTAAGTGATTAAAAGAAAGCTTGCAATGGTGGTCAGGACCATTAGGTCTTTCCGTTATAACTTATGTATCTGTATTGATTATAACATCCTTAGGGTTTTATTTAAGACTATCTTGTACACAAAAGATTTTTTATATGCTGGAATTTTCGCAAATGAAGCATTATGATTTTTAAAGCGTAAAGAAAGTTCTTTTTGGTTCTGAAATTTAAAGGATGTCACATGTACACATATGAACGGATGGTTAAAAAAACAATACATATATTTATGTGACATGAGTCGTTTAAACCGTGTTTTTACATTAAAATTACACATTATGCGTAAAAATATACATTTTACATTAAAATTACTTATCTAATGAAAAGTATGGTGATATTATAAATAATAAACATTTATACATAACATTAAAGTTTAAATATAAAAAACTTGTGTTTAAATAAAAGAAAATGGTTTTTAAATGTAAAAACGTGTATTTATACAATTTTAAATATAGTGGCAAAAGTCCATAAGTTGTTTTTTAAAAAATGTTTGGCTTCACTTCAGGGCCGCATCTACCCTTTGCAAAACTAAGCAAAGACTTAGGGCCCCCAAATCTAAAGGACTCATAATTTTAAAAATTATTCTGTTAATTATATATATATATATTATATATATATATATATATATATATATATATATATATATATATATATCTTTACTATCTTATAAAAGAAATATCACTATTTCTATAAATAGACTGAATATAATAATATTATTTTTTTAAGACGTCCAAATGTTTAAGCTTAAAGTACAGCAAACTATCAATATAATAATATTAAATTTAAGTTGTCCAAATCTTCAAAGTGAATATACAATCAATCGATGCATATTTTTCCTTAGTTTGACCCAGCCTCTTTAATCGATGATTGAGTCTTGTTGGATCCCTATATATCGGATGATTAATTAAGTTCTCTAGGTTTAAATTTTGAAATCCCCATTTTTTTCGTCCCTTATCGATATATCTCAATCTCTCCATTTTTTCTATAGACGTATAACCTTTCTTCCCATTAAAAACACACGCTTTTAAAATGGGGGAAAAGGTGTTTCCTTTCGATCTCTCTTGCATCTCTTTCGCTCACAAACCATAGCCGTACCCCTTACTCTTACTCTCTTTCTACGCACCACCTAAACGCGACCACCACCACCACCACCACCATCTCCCCCTCTATCACTGTAAACTGAAGACGTCGCTGCCTTCTTCGTATACCCTCTGTCGCAGACCGGAAGTAAGTGTAAACATTTATTACCACTCACCGTCGTCTCGACCTTCTGCTAACGACCGGAAGTAAGTGTCACTCACCGCATCTTAATTCGGTCGACGCTATCATGTTGATAATGTAAGTATCTAGATCTTCATCTATTTTTAGTTGCGTCTTTGCTAACTGTTTACCTTCTCCCACTCTCTCCCTCGAAATCCTATTTCTAATTGTGTATGTGTTTTTAACTGCAGGTATCTATTTAACTATGTGTGTTTGTTGATTTCGTATGTCATAGGCCAACGTGTTTTTCGCCCATAGACATCTTAATCGAAGACAATACAAAGTAAGTCCATCACCACTTTCCTCTCTGTATATGTCACCCTAATCTCTGTATATGTCACCGTAATCTGTGTGACTGTGTCTACAACTAATTTATCTTTGATGAAGCTTTAACACAAATTAAATCAAATAGAAGTGATAGTGACGAGAAGCAAAAAGGTCTTCATTGTGTAAGCATTTCGGTATGCAGAACAAATCTTCATAAAAAGGAACTACATCCTCGCTCTTTGGAGATCAGAGACAGCCCATGACGGCCATGGACTGTTGCTTTCTTGTCACCGCCCTCCAGGTAAGATTGTACATAAGCTTTTGATCACACCCTCTATATCTCACCTTTTTACTTACAAAAATCAAGTTTTGACTTTTTATCAAATCATCTGGTTCTGTTTTATGGTTTAAGTGAAACACTCATCAGATTTAAGGGTGCTATCGTTTTTAACAGACACAATTCTCTCTCTCTCTCTCTCTCTATCTCTCTCTCTCTCATAATATATGTTGATTATTTGTTGTTTTTTTTTTGTTTATGAAAACGACATTCTAACAAAGCAGGACATTAGCTACGGTCACACAGTGGTTAGTTTATGTACTTTGAAAACATATTGCTCTAACTTCTTTCTTCAAAGATAATACACTATCAACTAATAAAATGCCATATTTGAAATCCCAAGTATATCACTATTATGGTTACGGTTATTTGATGCCTATGATGTTTTTTTATAGTTATTTAATTTTATATTTGAAACTAAATTACATAATCCTAAATTAACAACATTTGTTATTTTTTTATTGTATGGAGTAAAAAGAAGATAGATATAGATGGCAGTCATGATGATTTTGTTCCTCATGTTTGGACCAGTTGAAGGGGAGTTGGCGTCCATCTTGGCTTGTCCAGAAGGAATATTTTATACCGCTCAATCCGTATGGGTAGATTGCTTAAGAAACAGGTGCATTGTATTTTTAAGCCCTTCAGTCCAACTATGTTAATTGTATTCATATCAAGGTTATTGTGTAGTTGCTTACTCTTTTTTCAAGTAAGTGTAAACAAACTGTAGAGGAAAAGTTGTTTTCTGGTTTACAATCACAGACACACACATATGGACATAAATTCCTAATATTTGAACTTACGTTTTGCTATTTACTCAGGTTCGGATCAACAACCCAACTGAGGGCTTACCTTTCTTTACAACAAGGCCTATTTGACAAGGAGTAAGTAATGGTTGTAATATGCTTTAAATATATCTCTAACTAAGTTTCTCAACATTTTGTCTATATCAAGTTTTGCATAAAGTTTTACACAATATCTAATCCTAAGTTATTCATATATCATATTTGAAATCTTATATTTTTTTTTAGTTTTTGTTGATTTTGAAATGTTTAGCGGAGGAACGATCTAATAGATATCCATATGAAGCACATCACCATGTCGATTTGTTTCCTAATGAGAGATACTTTTTTTGTATTAGTTTTGATCGAATTGTTCGAATATACTTTGTTTATTTATAGATAATGAGAAAAAGACATTTTACTTATTATTTTTTCATTGAATATCATGTGTGTATAAACTTTGTGTTTGATGTATATATTAAATTATTTTTAATTGTTTTATTTAAATTTATTTATGTTGCAAGTATATTATGTATTAAAATTAAACTCATACACTGTTGTGACAACTTTCCTCCATGAAATCTACCATCGCCTCCTTATTCCATGAAACCGGTTGGCTCCATGAAATCAACATTGCACCTAGGAGCCCGAACAATAGAGGATGGGATTAATGCTAGAGAAATAAAGAGGATGTGGATATGAGAGAAGGATGGTGACACGATAAGATCATCGAAGGGTGAAGGTAGCATTGTTCTTACAAATGTTTTTCTCCAAATGTCAAAAAGGAATCATTTGAAGAAAGAAAACTAATTAACTTTTGAAAAGTATTTTCCGAAATGAAACTAATTTCCGTCTGTTCTTAAAAACCCTAGATATTTATTATTGTGTCGTAGTTCGAGATAACCAGTAGCATGCAAGCACATTGTGTCCGACCTTTGTGAGATGCAATCAAATTCCGCATACATTTCACGTTCTTGGAAGATGACATGTTTTCCGTATAGAAACTAATATTGAGACGAATATAATCTCCAAAAGAAACTATTTGACGAAATGAAACTATTCTTGCTGCAAAACCGATGATCGCAATATTTATCTTTTGTGTTCCTTGAAATATAATATAGATTTTCGATTTTAAACTAATTGCCGAAAGAAACTAATTGTCCAATGAATCTATTGTTGCCGCCGCATTGCGCGGGTGAGACGGCTAGTATATATATATATATATCTATCATATATATATATATATATAATATATATATATATATATATATATCTATATATATATATATCTTGGGTTATAAAGACAAGTTAGAGTTTGGTCTGGTGGTAAAAGCGCTGGTTTATAAAACTAAGGGTTTCAAGTTCGAATATGTTTGCTTACCTGAAGAGCTCCAATTTTTTTGTTTGTTTAGAGCCTCCAAATTGGTTGAGTCGCCCCTGCTTCACTTATACATGTAAAATGATCAAAAATGAGTTAGAAAACTTAATAAGTTATAAGTTGTTTTAAGAAGTTATAAATCTTGACTTTTTAACATCTTCTTTTTAAAAGAATTAACAAAAAGTTGTTTTCAAAGTCTTTCTTATATACCAAAACACCTTTTTTTAACTTATTGACTTTTCAAGAAGTCAATAAGTTAATAAATTATTTTTAGTAGAAATCTCAAACACTCTCTTAGTGAAACTGTTAAAATTGTAAAAAATTGAAACTTAAAGTTTGTTGTGTAGTTAGTTTCAATTTTGACATGTCATAATTGCCACACAATCAAATGACACCATGTTAGTATGTCACGTCATTTAATACTAATACATTTAAGACTAACACGCAAGTATATTGTAAGTATATTGTCAGCAAATTATTAGGTTGACCGGTTAAGTGATCAACATTATAAAAAATTAAAAATTTTAATTACTAAATTGAATAGAAAAATAAGACAGTGTCAAAATAATATTTTTATAAAAACATAATCTTTCTTGTAAAATTTACCCTAAATATAACAGAAATTATAGAACCTATGTAAAAATTGTAATCCTACTTTTCTTCCTACATATCCTCCTATCCATTTGAAATGATGACAAGTGTACTAAATTAATGATAATCTTATCTAAATATGACATATGTCATCATTTTTCATTGGTGGAACATAAAAAGGAAGAAAATATAAGAGAATATTTAATTTCTCAAATTGTAAATAAGTATTTTCTTTGACATATTCTATCGTAGGTTGTCGGTTTTGTAGCTAAAGGCGCGCCATTTAGCACTCGGGCATGTTAGTAGGTTTATGTATATTTAAGCTAACATGAACCCAAGATAGAACCTCGCACCCGTGGGCTTATTCTATACCACATGATCGGTACCCGTTCCATACACATCCCCTCTTCAATCTATCTCATTTCCCTCTAACCTGTGAGATAACACAAATCAAATAAGCAATATTTTTTTATCTTCTTTCTACAATGGCATTGAACTCTAGTTCTTATTATTCTTCACGTTCTTGTTCAATTTCAACTCAATTCAGAAAAAACCCTGCTAATCCTCATTCAGTCAGTCCCCGTAGTGCCTATTTTGGGTTAACATCATCTTCATCGTCATTGAATTCAGATGATACGGCGAAGCCCTCCCTTTCCGTTTCAGCTGATTCTTCTTCTGCACCAAAAGCTCGATTCGTTGCTCGTCGAACCGAATCCGTTTCAGTTCGACCACTCGAACGTCCTCTACGTAATGTTTCATTTTCTGCTCGTTTTTTTATATGATTCACATGCTTTTCGTTTGTTTTCTTCTGATTGATTCCGAATTCATGCTTTCAATTCAATTGCATAAAACGTGAGCTTGTAATGTTGTCATTATGTGAGTGCTGTTTTTAGTTGTTCGAATTTGACAAATAGATTACATGAAACAACTAGTTATTGATTATAATCAATCAACTGATTGAATTGTAGTAGCTAAAGTGGGGAAATTTACAATTTTTTGGAGGTGTACACTTATCCGTTTTGGTTTCATTTATGTTGTGAATGACAGTGGAGTATATGAGCCTTCCTGCAAGCCAATACTCTGTTCTGGATGCTCAAAGAATCGAAAGGATAGATGACAAGACTTTCAGGTGTTATGTGTACAAATTCAAGTTCTTTGCTTTTGAGGTTTGCCCTGTTTTGTTAGTTCGAGTTGAAGAACAACCTAATGGCTGTTCTATTAACCTCTTGTCCTGTAAGGTATTTTAAGTCTCCGAATTCTCCTCTTCATCTTACTACCATTTATGGTGTTGTGGTAAGAATAATTATTGCATTTTCAACTTACTGCAGCTTGAGGGGTCACCGATCGTGGTTGCACAAAATAATAAATTTGAAGGTGATCAATTATTTAGCCTCTTATCTTCTTATTTGCTTTTATCAGTAGGTTGAGTTGGGAATATGCTGTTGATTTATAAGATCAGATGAAATTCCATTATGAACTCAAATATTGATATGAATCCATTAATTTGAGATAAATATGACTGCTGCATATGGCTTTATCTCCATCTGCTTTCCTTCTTCTCGCTCACGAATTCCATTCCTGACAACCAAACACATGACAATTCGAATTCCTTTCTTTGAACCAAACGCCATGGATCTAAAAGTAAACACTGAAGCTCATATAGCATGGGAGAATTTTGAGGCTATTTTGTTCTAAGTTATATTACATAATGCTTTTTCAGGAGTCCATTGACACTGGTTTCGTATGGGCATGCAGCTTCTATGGTGAATCAAATATCATGTGATACGAACAACCAGAGCAATTCATCCTTGCAAAAACTCACATCCGACACTGTTATCGAGGTGATTATTTAAATATATCTATCTTACTTTTGACCTCAACTCAAACTAATGCCTTCAAACTTCAAAATTGATATAGGCTTCTTTAAGTTTTCTAGAATCTTAAAACTAGTTCATTTAACTCAAAAATCAAAGAGATTATATATATTTATATTCAATGTTGCAACAACTATTTCAGGTTAGCATTGAGATTCCATTCCCTTTCCAAGCAATTCCAATTGGAACTATTGAATCAAGTGGCACTCAAGTCCTTGAGCAGATACTCAAGATCATGCTTCCCCGCTTCATGGCACAGGCATGTCTTTTTTTCTCCCATTAAGTGTTGTATGGATAAATCATAAATGATGTTTTAAGAAAATAAATGAGAAAAGTTAAGAAGTGTGTATGTGCATATGTGCAGTTGGTGAAAGATTATAAAGCATGGGCTTCTGGTGACACCTCCAGACAGCCTCTTGGAAATGGTGGGATCTGATACGAAGATCACCTTTTATATAGGACTGTATTTGATTGTTTTATCGTTTAAGAACTTCAACATGTTTAGCGATATCAAAACTCTTAATTCTTTTAGCATTTTTATTGAACTTAGTTATGGATTTGTTATTGTTGTTTTAATTGTATTAACTTTGTTTTTAAAAGTTATGATCGGTATTCGGTAAGGGTATTACTCGTCACAATATTAAACTTTTCATTTAAAATGAGTGATTACACATTACTATAGCATCTCTAATGAGAATTTATTTTATTTTACTTAATATTTTAGTATATTAATATGACACATGTCATCATTTAATTTGGTATGAAGATTTATAGTAACAAAAATAAGAGGATATTTAATTTCTTTTTATTTTATAACTTATTATTAATTGACATAACCATTGAAAAGTCATGAGATAGAATTTTTTTTTTCTATTAACCACTTTAGGTGCTTATTTTGCTTTTGTGTTTTGTACATTTAACACACTCCATTCTATAGTATTTCATTTTAGACCCTAAATTATATTTAAAATCAAATATTTATTATTTCTTCACTAAATAAGTTATTCTATCGAATATTCAATAATATGTCATTTATAAAATTCATATTTCATAGTGATTATGCGATTATATAATGTATTTAACGTTTATTATATTTATATATTAGGTTATAACCCATGGGAACCACGCTTACAAAATTAAACGAATATTAATAGTTAAAAATCATAATGATTAATCAATTATTCTAAAAAATTTATAAATTTAAAAAGTTACATGATTTTCATGTAAATTTATAATGGTTGAATAAAATAAATATGTACACCATTTTTTAGGATAGATGAGACATTGTTTATGTCATGTGTAAATAAATGAAAAAATTAATGATTTTATACAATTTTTGTAACTTTCTTTTACATGACAGTGACCTAGCTAGTTTCTACATGATAGTGGCCTAGTTTCTATGGACCTCATAACTCTATTTAGAAGTTTGAATTTGTAGTTCTATGATTTAATCATATGGTAAATTGCTTTTTATTTTTTTATCTATCTGTCACAATTGAAATTATATATTTATGCTTCTTTTTATCTGTCGGGACTTCTTGTTTATCGGAGAATACTTGCAATTTTGGGTAATAGTTTGACTTGTCTAATAATTACAATATACTTTTTGATAAAACATGTTTTAGTGTACAAATTTGAGCAGCCAATTTGAACATTGAAATATCCTGGTCTTTCTTAACAAATTTTATATTATAAGTTATTTCTTTTGTTTTGATATACAAATAATGTTTGACCTCATGTAATAACTAATTTAATACCTTTAATTGCAGGTATCTTCCCTAATAAATAAAAATAATTTTGTCACTTGTCAATCTCTCATAAATTTTGACACTTGTCATTTTGTGATATTTTTGAAATAAATATTATCCACTTGTCAATTTTTGATTTGTTTCAAATTTTAAAATTAAAGTCATATACTTATATACGTAAAATATTAAAAATAATATATATGAAATTAAATTGCAATGAATACGTTTCTTCCTTTATTATTTTAAAGTTTTACATTAAAAAATGTTTACTAGTTACACTTTAATGTTTAATCTTTTTTTTTTTTTTAAATTAACTCGTATAATATACGGGTTTCACACCCAGTTGGTTGTAAACGAATACACAAAGGTAAAATATACATATATACTTTAAGTATTTCACATTAATGGAAAACAAATTTTATATTAATGGTTGGTATTTAATGCCTTAATTGCAAAGATAAAGAATATTGAAAACTGAAATAATGATGCTATGTGGCTGAGTAGGTTTAATATGATGTGGTGTGGCAGTAAAAATTATTCTTTTATCCTAATAGGGATGTAGATATACTGTGATACATTTTATTATTTAAATATTAATGTCAAATATATATATATATATATATATATATATATATATATATATATATATATATATTATTGAAATATGATGTACGTTTAACAACGATAAATCAAGTTAAGGACTCTATAAAATATTTTAGAAAGATTATGATAAATCTTTTAAGCTACTTTTATCTAGTTAATTATTTGTTACAATTTAAACTTGGCCATTAGTTTGGGCCTACTATAATAATCATTGAAGTTTTTATATAATTTAACTAGTACATTTATTACTATATTTTTCTATTATTTGTGAGAACGTTTACTTTCACATGATTATAATATTATTTTTAGTTTCCCATTGTTATAAACTTTTAGTTTTTATAAAGGTTATAATTTAAATATATGGAAAAAAAATATATTTTTCATCAACATGTACGATTTTGGTATTCAACAAGCTTAAGAAGAAAAAGGTCAGCAAAACAAAAATTAGAACAATAAGGTTCTATTTGGATGTTAAATAAAGAAAAATAATATAACTTGGGGATGTAGCTCAGATGGTAGAGCGCTCGCTTAGCATGCGAGAGGTACGGGGATCGATACCCCGCATCTCCAAAATTTTGGTCTTTTAGTTGCATTTTAGACCCCTCATTTTAAGTTGTATATCATGTACTCTCATCTTTTGATAGTTTAAACTTTAAAGTTTTCCTATTCCTGATAAAAAGTTAGTTTATTATTATTATCATTATTATTTTATTTATTTATTTTTTATTTATTTTATACTTTTATTCCTTAATCCTTCCGTCATTACGTACACATAAATACCATATGTACTGGTTTTTCGTTAGAGTAGATATATTTATTTTTTATATTAGCAAGATAAACCTAGCTACCCACAAGGAGAGAAAAGAACTCTTATCATATTTATGGTTAATTGCACCTAGACCCCTGTTTTAAAATGTGTTATTCCGTTAGTATTGTAAAAGCCCCATAGATTTGGTTATCATCCTTGAATCCCCTAAAATCTAAGATATGTTTATTTTATATTATGAACATGAAATATCTAGTGAGAAAAAAGTCGATGTACATTGAACTTGTAAATATATTCGATGCAAATTCAGATGATGAACTTACGAATCTGTATTACGATTTGTATTTTCTCATGAACAAGTATGGATATAAAGTATAATTAATCTTTCTACTCTAATGAAAAACGAGAGATATTATCATTTATTATGGCTAACTGGTGTAGATCGCTTGATATAGTATATGTCTTTTGTTGATAGTTATACTAGATTTTACTACTTCTAGGTTCTAACAAGAATAATAATTATTATAAATTTTCTAAAAAAACCAGTAAATAAGAAGGTGAAAGATTCATCCCTATTCCAGTATCACGCCCTAATTAATTCGATCACTGGATATTATTTTAAGAGCTCGTTTGAATTATAGAAATTATAGAAAATTCTGGAATTGTCACCATTCAAACTAAATCATATATAGTTCAATACATATCGACGGAAGGAAAGCGGACAACAAGCTGCGCCGCTAGCCCTTTCTGGATGACAAAACTAATTCTTTTGAAAACAACATTTGTGGATCTAGAAGATATAACATTAAAATGCATGACCCGTTGGACTCTGTTGAGGAGCTGCATCGCCTCTGGTGCGAGAAAACTAAATGTATCAAATACAAAAGGTACAAACACATGTTGATTTTCTATACATGCATTCTCGTGCTTTGCTACTTTGCACGTAACGGCTTTCAAAGCGGCATGCCCTGTTGTTAGGCGTGTCAAACCCAACAAATAATAGGGGTACAAGAGACTCTAAATACACTGCTTTAATGCACTAAAAAGTAGTACAAGGCAAGCAGGGTCGAACCACAGAGACACGGGACAAAAGTCTATACCTCTTTGTACAAGGTACTTTGGTCACAAAGGGGGTTTGGTTTGCAAAAATAAATAACTAAATAACAATCTACTTTAAAAGCATGCACAAAATGAAATAGATTTGTAAACAAATTGTAAAAGTGCTTCCAGTTCTAGTTCTCAATGTTGCTGTTCAACTTGATTATGTCTTGATGTAATTCATGATTGCTATTCTAAGTTGGTACTGAAAGATATTAACACGCTCTAATACCTCTCGCTTGCCAAATTA